TAATAAGTATGTATTCCTAGATGATACAGATATTGAACATAGAAGCATTCGTTTTGTAAATGGTTAAAGAACTCCCCACATTATTGAATGGGTCATACTGTATTCACAGTCAGCTTTCGATCATGAGCACCTCATATCCTCCAACTGACCATTGAATTCCTGGATTAAACCTTTTATTGACACCATTCTCTCCTCACCACGACCTCTCCATCAGCACCTCCCTTTGCTTTGCATGGAAATAACTTGCCTTACATACATGTGTATGCGTGTGCTTGTGCGTCTGTATGACTATGTGTAATGGTTTGTTAATGAGAATTCATTTGTTCTTCTGTTTGTGTGCTTTGATTTGTCTCCTCACAAAACCATTTGCTTGGTTTTGTGCACAGTTTTTTCTGTTATTTCAGTTTCCATTTATATTTCAAATGTGTAATTAGGCAAAAAGCAAACTGGAGGGCGAAGGGAATTAAAATTCTGTCCCTCTTTGCAAGATGTTGCTGTCTAGTATTCCTGAGCTCCTCTTTCTTCTTTAGTATCTGTGAAAATAAATGATCTGCTTTGTGCTATAATGAAAATCATTGCAAATCATCAAGTTATCACTGGCTTTCTTTGATAGACAATTAACATTCATAAGTGTTTTCAAGCCATTTTGCCTCATCACGTTGACATTTGTCACACATCCGAGCAATCTTGAGATGTTTCTTTCTCTGTTTTCTTTGTTTTTTCATCATACATGTCGGTTTTTTGGTCACCTGGTTTCATTCATTGTTTATTTTTATGTATATGAGTTCTGTTTTCTAGTTTGTCTTGTGAGTGTGGGTGGGCTGAGTGTATAAGCAAGTTATTTCCTGCTCATGTCCTTTCCCATCAATTTTGTGTAGTCTTTGCTTTACCACAATTCCCCAGAGACATATGAAAGTATAAGCCCAGTTCCTCTGATACCCTGCTGTAGAGCCCGTTGTGATTCTGTTGTCCTATGATCCCTGCAGTGTGCTCCAATCTTGTCCTGACCACATTTTCCAATGTCTGTCTCCTTTCATTTGAATTTTTGATTTTCTTTACTCCTTACTTTATCTTCTTCCATATGGAAGATGAAGAGCGGGAGACATCAGTCCTGAAATCAGAGTTGATTCGAGAGCCAGACCTTCTATCCGACGTGTCAGAGATGAAACAAGATTTGATCAAAATGACTGCCATCTTGACTGCAGACTCAACAGAGAAATCCCCTTCCTTAGGGGGGTGTGGTCTAGAGAAAGGAACTGAGGACATTTCTGGAGAACCGTTAGAAATAATGGAAAAGGACTTAGAAAAAGTCAAAGAGGACCTAGAGAAAGTCAGTGAGATACTAAGGAGTGGAACATATGAGGGCGAGGTGGCAGAGGAGGCAACAAAAGCAGCTAGAATGTCAGAGGAGTGGGTTCTTCTCTCAGACAGTGAGATAGAAGAGGCCAAAAAGATGGCGGCAATAGAAATTCAAGAGCCTGTTTTACGGGAAAGTAGATCTAACAGAGGGGCTCCCAGACCTAAAGCCATAAAGGACAGCGGTGATCTTAAAGAATACCTCTTGGATGCACCAGTAAACTCCAACGTAAAAGCTAAGAAAGAGCCAGCCATACAAGAAAGATTCACTGATGTTGTACTGCAGAAAGGTGCGAAAACAACCACTCCAACCAAAGTGCAAGTAAAAACCACTGCTGCTGATGTTAAAAAGCCAATCAGAAGAAAGGGGAAAGACCAGGGCCAGGCAGAGGAATCAACAGAGGCAGGTGGTCTTCTAAGTGTGTCAACAATCCCTGCTCCAGTATCGCCTGTATCCCCAGTGGTTGAAGAAACTCCGATAGGGTCAATAAAGGACAAAGTCAAAGCTTTACAGCAGAAAGTTGAGGCAGAGCAAAAGAGCAAAAAGGTCACTGGAAGCAAGCCTTCACAATTGCCTGTTATGGGCAAGTCCTCTCCTAAAGCCAAAGAAAGCCCTAAATTGGATCCCCCTAAATCCCCTAAATCTGAAACTGAAAAACTTGAGGAGACCATGTCAGTTAAAGAACTGATGCAAGCATTCCAAACAGGGCAGGACCCCTCAAAGAGAAAAACTGGGCTGTTTGAGCTCAAAACATCCACAGCATCAAGATCGGAGAAAACCACAAAATCAGAAACCATCCAATCAAAATCCACGACCAAAGCATTAACATCACGTGTTTCTCAAGAGAGAGAAGTATCTTTGGATTCAAAACCCCGCAAGAAGGAGACAACTAAGCAAGACAAGTCAGTTGCTCCTGCCCATTCAGAGCTGACTGAAACTGTAGACTTTGGAAATTGTGGCCTTGATGACAGCTCGGACAGCTCAAAACATGAGGGGGTGGCAGATTCACTAAGTGCTAGTTCTGGAGATGGAACTCATCTAAGCTCTGAGGACAGCTATAAACATGAGGGTTTAGCCACACCAGGCACAAGCCCTGAAAGTCTGTGTCCTTCTCCCAAATCTGGACAGCACGCAACTCCATCACCAGTTACCACAACAGTCAAAACACTAAGTAAAGACACAGAGAAGTCTGGAGACTCTGGTTTAGGGGCCACTGGTGAACAACTATCAACAGAATTGTCCCTCCCTGTTTCTTCCAGCGAAGCTCCAGATGACCACACTACAAGTGAGTCCACATCTGTTAGGAGGAGTGAGTCTAAGCCATCTAAACCCCAAAAGCTTACAAAAAGAATTTCAGAGACAGTAGAAACTTTTCTTAGCGATGACGAGAGCCCTGATCATCGGTTAGAATTGGCTTTAATTGGTTCTCCAGCCTCTAGATCCTTGTCTCAGCATCAAGAAAGCTTAGAGCTGCCTTTAATACAAGACTCAGATGCGCTCAGCCCATTAGCTGATGATTCTTTGACAATAAGCCACAGAGACTCTCTAGAGGGTAGTCCTCTTATGGAAGAAAATTCCTCGCATAAGTCCCCAGACTCCATTGAACCTAGCCCAACCAAGGAATCACCTCCTCATGACTCCTTGGAGAGCAGTCCGGTAGAGCAAAAAAGCCACCCTATCTTCCCATCAACACTAGGTCCACCTAGTAAATCCTCTAGCCACCCAGAGCCCAGCAAAACCACAGAATCCCCGCATGATGCATTGCGTGGTAGGCTGCTTCGAGACCATGAGACTAGTGCTGATGATGACAGTTGTGAGCAGACATCTCAGATGACAAGTTCCGGTAAGAGTCCCCTCTCCCCCGATACTCCTAGTTCTGAAGAGGTAAGTTATGAGGTTAACTCTAAACCCCCTGACCATACATTCCTCTCGGTTCCATCCAACCCGGCTGTCATCCCAGAAGAAGAAGAGGATACATCAGACAGCTATGAAACTAAAAGAAAAATCACTCCAGAGGAGGAAATGTTTAAGATGGCAGCCAAAATAAAAACATTTGATGAAATGGAACAAGACGCGAAGAGCAAAAACAAGTCTAGGAAAGATTTGTTTTCCTCAGCAGATGCCAAAATAGGCGATGACAGCTATGAAACGTTAGAGCCCACAAGTGAGAAGCTTTCGCAAAGTGAATGTTGGCTCGATAAACCCCCAGAAGATTCAAAGTTAGCTCTTTTTGTTGATCCCCATATTAAAGTAAAACCTCCCTCTCCTTTTTCAGCAGGTTTGCATGATGGATCCCACAGCAAAGAGGTCAAGAACACAACAACAACCAGTGTCACTTCAGAGGGGCCTCACTCTGTCTCAGACCACCATCATTCAAACACAAAGACACAAACAAACGAACAAAGACTCTCCCCATCTGTAAAATGTGATGCAGACAAAAAGGCTGCTGGAACTTCAAACACTGAAAACAGGACTGATGAACAAAAGGAAGAGTGCTTAAGGAAGTCAACAGAATGCAAAGGAGACAACAAAAATGGTCAAGAGTTAGGTGCTAGCAGGCAACTGACTGGTACACAGAAACCAGGTAACAATATAACAGATGAAGTCAAAGGAGATCACAGGGAGCATACAACAGCACCAGAAGCTGGACTTGGTCCAACTGTTGCTGCAGGTCAAACAAAGGAACTGTTCAAACCAGAGGTCTGCATCTACGATGACACGGAGGAAGAGGATGAGGCATTGGAACCTCCCAGAACTGAGTCAAAAGGTGTTACTGCAAAGGCAGACACTGACTCGTGGTCTGCCATGCGGGAGGATGATGCCACTTTTGCAGCTCGTGTCAAAGAGGAGGAACAGAAGATACTGAATTTAGTGGTGGACCGTCAGTCTCTTCAAGCAACTCCAGACACAACACCTGGTAGAACACCAACAGAAGAGAGCACGCCTACCAGTGAGCCCAATCCTTTTCTGTTCCAAGAAGGGAAGCTCTTTGAGATGACCCGAAGTGGTGCTATTGACATGACTAAGAGAAGCTATGAGGAAGAGGGGGGTGGCTTTGCCTTTTTCCAGTTAGGTGAACCACCTCTAGAGGAGCCTCTCTTAGAAGAGGCCAGGCAAGAAGGTAATAGATCAGCAGCAGAACCTGAAGTTGGCCTCAATCTTATACTAGAGGTTAAGACTGAGGAAGATGAAAAATCTAAAGAATCATCTGATTCTCAGCTTCAGTCCCCACCACAAGGTGATCAGACAGGCTCAAAGGCTGATGCCTCCAAATCTAAAATCCCTAAAATGGGAATTTCAGCTTCAGCCAAACCTACAAAGAAAGACCAGACATCCCCTGAAGGTCTAGATATTAAAACAGACAAAAATATTAATGAAGGATCCTTAGATGTAGACTCAAGTTTCTCTGACCAAATGATAACAAATGTTCAAACAGCAGAAACTACAGTTACAAGATCTGTTTACTCTGAGCAAGGCCAAGAGTCGTCTGACTCCTCTCCAGAGGAGCCACAGTCAGTGATAGAAGCCCCCAAACCAACAGGCAAGTCTAAACAAAGTGCTTCCAGTAGTGTTAAAAAGACTCCAGGCAAAACACAAGCTAAGTCTGCTCCTCAAGGTAGGGGTAATACATCTAATACAACTTCCTCTTCAACCTCTCTTAAAAAAGAGGCCTCCTTCACATCTGAATCTAAATCTAAAATTCCCATTAAAGCGAGCACCATCAAGCCTGATTCTACTGTCAAACGTGTCGAATCTACCCAAGACAAAAAGCTTAAAGTCCCAGTAAAAAAGGATACAAGGAGAAAATCTGAGACAGACGCTGGTCCCTCTGTGGATGTCAAAACCAAGACAACATCTTCCAAAGCCAAGAGCTTTTGTGAAGGGGAGTCTACCACTACTAAAAAACCTAAAGGCTTCCAATCCAGATTGCCAGTCCGGGGCAAAAGTGGTCAGTCATCTCATTCACCAGCACCCACTAAAGAGAAAAGTACGCCACGCAAAAAGTCCATTGAGTTCTTTGAGGAGATAAGCGATGAGGCAGCGAAACTCGTGGCAAGGTTGGCACAGGCAGAGAAAGAGAAAGAACAAGAGGCTGCAGCCGCCAACTCGGATGATGAGAGCAGTCTCATTGATCCATCAATCATAGAAAAAGAAACTTTCTCTGAGATGCAGTTCCCTCCTTCAGGAGACGTCTTTCCTATTAGACCACTGTGGGACGACCCTGTGGAGACACAGATGCAGCGAATTCCAGATGATAAAGTCCAAAGTCAAGGTATCCCCCAGTATAAGGGGCTATTCTCTATATATTCTCTTCTGCCTCATTAGTAAACATTAGATGTAAAGATGCTGCCTCTCTGTCTCTTGTAGTTAAGTCCCGTTGTATTCGAAGAATCCATGTTGCTGTTTCGCTTGAGCTTTGTTTGTGTTTGTAACAGCGTCTCTCTTTCCTTCTATGTGTGCAGAAACTCTCAAGATTGACTTAAAGGCTTCATGGAATTTAGCGACTAAAACATTTAAAGATGAAAGTGTAAATAATTACTTGAACAATCACATGTATTGTGAATACATTTTTTTAAATCATAGTTTACCGCTACTTTATCTGATTTTTAAGGATTTACCAATCAAACAATAGTAGAGAAACAAGAAAGCCAGTGAATATTTTTTCAGATATTGTTTGTACGTCTTTTTTTGTTTGATTGTTTTTGATCTGGTATATCATCTGTGTCCGCTCATGGCTGTCCGGTGGTATTTGCAGTAGACCCACATGATGAAGCAGAGAGAAAAGAGCAACGGTTGGCCATTATAGCTGACCACTTAGGCTTCAGCTGGACGGGTGAGTCGCACACATTTGTAAAAGTGATCAAACCCTTATGCTCAAAATATAGATTGTTACTTAAATTTTGTCTGGCTGTCAGGAAACATAATTTCAGATATTTTGAAGTTTATTTTGACCATAACCATTATTATATCTTATTCTGTCCTCTTAGAGTTGGCAAGAGAAGTGGAGTTCAGTGAGGAGAGGATCAACCTGATAAGGATTGAAAACCCCAACTCACTGCAAGACCAAAGCCATGCCCTTTTGAAACTCTGGGCAGAGAGGGAGGGAAAGCATGCTACAGGTCAGTGATTAATGATGTTTCATCGTAAAAGGTCTTATTAGAATTTAAAGTGGAACTTTTATGATTGTTATTTGTTTTTTTACAGAGGCAACGCTGATCAAGAGACTGACAAAGATCAACCGAATGGACATTGTTCACCTTATTGAAACCAAGATTATCAAGTCCACTCAGGAGGAGACATCATCACACACCTATGCAGAAATTGAGCGGACAATAGCACTGGATCATAGTGAAGGTGAACAATACTAATGCTATACTGATGATTTAGTTGTTGTTATGTGTATGTATAATGCTTTAATTGATTTGGAACAATCCGCCTTATTTGGAATATAAGGGAATTAAATCACACACGCTATTCTTCAGGAGAACGGGTGGATCTGTCACACTGTGTATGGACACTGACCCTCTATTTGTCCCACTAAAACATGCAAAAATATATATGATAACGAAATTGACACCCACAAGTTGCAATTATTAGTTTGTATTGTCAAGAAGATTAACTAAACACTCATTCCAACTGGATGTCAACCTACAAACAAAGACCAGAAAGGGAGCAAAGCATCTCAACTCCAAACAAATCACATACAAACAATACGTTTCCCCCAAACCCCACATTCATATCATTTATCAGTTCACCAAATGAAATAGTTTGTTTGTCCCGAAACAACAGACAGACACATACAAATAATCCACAATATATATCACCAACTCTAACCACCCAGAAGATGAGTCCTGGTCCCACAGTAATCCCCAAAGGTTTTACCAAAAGAACAGTTTTCTTGTCCTCCCCATCACATTTGCTATACAATAAAGTAAACTTAGGTCACCTTCTTACAGATTGTTGACCGATTACATCAGTCATGTATATTTACTCCTCCTGTACTAAACACCTGTACTGTATTCTTGTCAGGTTTCTCTGCACTTCATGAAGACATTGACAGCCCTCGGCCAGGCAGGCGCACAGAGACAACAAGTAGGAGCCCAGGCTCAGGACAAGAGGTACCCATGGTGTCAGCAGAGGACCTGTCCCCCAGTTTTTCATCACTTCATGAGACAGACTCCACAGCAACAGGCCTTAGAAATACCCAGAAGGAGAAATTACAAAAAGAAATGGAAATAAAATAGTAAGTTCTCCCAAATGTTTAATGACGACACTCATATTTGCTCACACTTGCTGTTTTCATATCATCAAAAATCATGTTCATGTGTTGTCCTACATCTCAGCCCGCTCAATAAGCTGAAAAATATCCAGTAAACTCAAATTGAGCATTTCTGATTTTTGATATGCACACATCTGACAATAAGAGTGACACCTCTTTCTGACTAAAAGAGTGGACGTGTTTACTTTCCTTGCTGCTTAGCTTTCTGTAGCTTAAACTAGTGTGATGTGGAATATATTGTTTTATACATTGCGACAAAAAAAAGAATGCAACCATCCACACACTGAAAATTGAAATGTTCTTTTTTGCAGCTCATCACAAAGAATATATGAGGAAATGAAGGACTCAGTACACACAGGCGGTTTTAAACAAGTAAGTCCTTTCTTCACATTGTACAGCACCTCTCCCTACAACCTCCGATCCCATGTGATTGACCCTGTGTACAAAGGGGGACCCAAGTTAGGTCCCCACATTGCCGTACCTACTTACCCCTCTGTTGATCCATGTGATGATGAGGGGGCAGCTGGGTATGAGGGGGCTGAAGGGGGAAAGGAGTGGAGCTTGGAGTGTCTACAAACCTCCCCTCCTGAATATGATGTTGATTATTTGTCACTGTCCCGTTGGCGAGAGTCCTCCATTAGCTCTCGAACAGGTGTATGCGAGAGTCGACCATTGTCTGTGACTGATTTTGCCGAAAGCTTGATTGAGTGTGAACAGGCTGAACAAGACTTCAGGAAGCTGTCTATGGAGCTCACGGAACCCGATGAGGTCTGTGAAAAGGAATGCTTTACACAAGGATCAAAAAGTGAACAAATTCTCCCATCTACTCCGCCTCCTGCTGTGCCTCCTGTTACTGCATCCACACAACCTGTGCAGTCCAAACGTATGGCTTCAAGACACCTGGATGAAGTTTCACATCGACTATATAAAGTCCTGTATGGATATGATGTTGAGCTGATAGATTCCAATACTGAGGATGAAGATGCAATTCCAGCTGGAGTCAAGAAGGATGAAGTCGAGGCAGAGGTTTCTAACTCTGAGCATGGGATTGATGTTTACGAGGCCACGTGTTCAGGTGACCTTGATGTCAAATCCAGCGACAACATAAATCAAAACCTGGATCCAACCGCTCAAGAATTAGCAGGTTCTTCCGATGTCAGTCACACTAGTCCAGGTTTAACATCTCAAAAAGCAGAAGTCATGAGCTCAGTTGGCTTCTTTCAGTTGTCACATGACTCAAGTTTTGAGAAAACGTTCAGATCAAATCTACCTGAAAACGAGGCTGTGTTTTCAGTAGAGTCTACAACAGACACCGAAGAATCCAGATATAGATCTTGTTCACCAGAATCCTTACCTGAAACACTTGGTGAACCTCATAGTTCTGTTGATTACAGATCATGCTCCCCTGAATATGTGACTGATTCAATATTACTTACAGAGAGTAGGGCGTCATCACCAGATTCAGTGCTGTTGGTAAATGAGCTGAATTTTCTTGCACCGGATTCTGCAGTACCTCCGTTTAGACCATTGTCTCCTCTGCCACCCCCTGTTTTTCCTTGGGAAAGCAGTGATAGTGCATCTGCTCAGGAACAGCCATTACTGAGTCCACCTGAAGGCACTTCTATGCTCCTGACATCAGAAGCAGAAGAGAGGCCTTTGACACCGATGGTTTCAAACAAAAGACCGTTTGGAAGGCCTGTATCGCTGGGCAGTGATTATTTCAGTGAGAGACCCATCTCCCCTCAGTCTTTAACTTTTGACATGAAAGAAAGAACATCATCACCCGAGTCTGTCATTTCAGAGACTGAGCAGTGGCTTTTTACATCTTCTGAGAATGTAACCGTGTCCCCTGAGAGGCGATCATCATCTCCTGAATCCATAAGGTCAATAACTGCACACTGTCCACTTCAACCAGACTCCCCTATACCAGAATTTAGACATGCTATCCCTGAGTCTGTGACAACCTGTCAATGTAGATCATCCTCACCTGAGTCAGTGTCATCAGATATGGTCTTTGAAAGCAGAGTTTTGTTAACAACGGCTTTTGAAGACAGACCCTCATCCCCAGAATCTGTAGCATCTTTAAATGGATATAAAGCATTGTCACTTGATTCACAGATACCTGAATTCAGTCACAATTGTCCTGACACAGCTATTGTAATGAAAGGGGAGCGATTCAGTTCACCTGAATCAGTATGCTCAGATGTAGAATATGGCTCCATGTCTCCGGCATCACTTAACCATGACAATAGAGCTTCATCACCTGCCTCAGTGGAATCTGGAGTTGAACCTCAATGTGTTTTACCTGTCGCTGGACATAGAGTTCCCTCCCCGGACTCAGTTGAATCCTCACAAATAATGTATGATTCCATATCTGCTGATAATAGACCAAAATCACCTGAACCATTAATGTTTGATGTTAAGAACAAACCACCAACACCAGTGGAATTAGTATCAGAGGATGATGATGATGACTGGGTTATAATATGTATGTCTGATATTGAGAAAAGTTCTCCGGAACCAGTGTCTGAATACAGACCAGTTTCTCTGTTGTCAACCATGTTCGTTATTAGAGCATCTTCTCCTGAATCAGAAACTTTAAAAAAAGTTGTGTTGTCCGATACCGATTATGAGGGTGAACCTTTGCTGTCACATCTTGAGAACAGGCCGTTATCTACTGATTGTGGTGGTTCCGTTAATGATTTTGGGCCATTGTCGAATCCTGAGACTGACAAACCTCCTGAAGAAGACAAGGCATCTCAGCCAACACAAGCTGCAATTAATGTAGAAGTGGCATGTATTGGAAAGCAGTTTGATGACAAATCAAATGTAATTGATCTGCAGGAGGTAAATAATGAAGAAAAAAGCAAAAGCTGTGTCCTGTCAAAATCGTTTGAAGAAAATCCCCAGAAACACAGTATAACTGAAGCTCCCAAGATACAATCAGCAGTGGCTGATGATTGTCACTCTGATATAGAAGCAGCTGAGGACCTTTCAGCTGATGTAATTGCAGAAGAATTATCTCATGTGTTTGATAAAGAAAGGCCAAAGGAGGAAATGACTAAGAAATCAATCAAATCAGATTATGAAACTTTGCAGAATGTTAGAAAACATCAAAATGAATCATCTGAGTTTATAACAACACAAAAAGACACACAGGAATCCGATCAAGCTATGTCTCAGGAGACTGCATGTGATGATCTACCAGTGCCATCAGCATTCACTACAGTTTTACCTCAAGATCAGAAAAAGCTCAGAGAGTCTTCAGTTTCTGTACTTCAGCATCCTGAGCCTTTATCTTTGACCAAATGTTCAGTGCCAGTCCATAGTTTTCTTATCTCTCAGATCTGTGACCCACAATATGTAGGAAAAACCTCCAGTCAAACCAATTCATATGAGATCGGTAAACGTGAAACTGCTGCTTTGCAATCAGAAAAACACCAAAGAACCCTTTCACCTGATTCTGAAGCTGAATATAGACCCATGTCACCGGAATCACTTAGGATGCTGGAATCATTTAGACCAGATTCCCCCCGCTCCGAGAGATCTGTAGATGGTTGGCAAGCTTTAACGCCAGATTCCCCCATTCCCCAGTACTCCTTCTCTGAACCCTCTCGAATTTATCACAGGTCAGTGTCAACAGAGTCATCATTGTCAGATCTGGAACTGGAGACCGATTCAAACATTGCATGTACTATTGAGGACAGACCGGCATCTCGTGATTCAGTATCATCCATAAACATGTACAGGGCACTATCACCAGACTCACCTATTCCTCAGTTTAAACAGTCTCCACCAGAATCCCTTTTTAATGCCAGATTGGATCGGTCTTCATCACTTGAATCAATAGATTCAGCCTCAGATCTAGAGTGTGGGAGTGTGTGTTTGTCATCATTATTATCCGAGAGCAGACTGTCTTCACCAGATTCTCTATCAGAATTTTCTGATTCGAACACACTGGGAACATCCTTGCCACCTGTTTCAGGTTGTTCAGATCTGAAACAGGTGGCTTTGTCTCTGTCACAACGCTGCTCTGAATTGACGCCTTCATCAAAAGATTCAGTAGTTCCTGGTGATAACTACAGAGGTGGCTCAACAATACTCCAATTCAAAACAGGGCTATCTGAATCAGTCACAGTTTGTGCTCATAAATCATCATCTCCTAAGTCAGTGATTTCGGATGTTGAACGATCAATTGAAGATATAGTTTCCTCCAAACCTGAATCACCAGAATCCCAACTGCCAGAGACCACAGAGAGGGCACTGGGTGGTAGTGGTCAAACTCTAAAGGCAATCCAGGTGCCAGTCTATAAACTTGTTTATGATGCTGAACTTCGGAGGCTTATTTCTCAAATATGTGATCCCCACTATGTTGGAGAGACATTTTGCAGTAAAACAGGGATTTTTGAGAATGCTGGAACAAGAACTGAGTATGTTCCAGAGGATTCTTCTGTCAAAGAGGGAGAGTCAGAGGATGATGTGAAGTTTATTGCAGATCCATCTGATCCAGATGTTCTGAGCGCAGTGCAAGGAAAGATTGAGGGGGAAGAGAGGTCAGTGTCACCTAAATCTGAGTCAGATTACAGGCATTTATCAGATAGGGAAGAGACATTAACAAGTACAGTCAGGTATGATTCTCCAGATTCCCAAGATCCCCAGTTTTCTGCTGATGTTGCTACCATTTCACAGTCTCTGCCATATTCACCAGAATCACCAGTGTCCAATGAAATTGCACCTTTGTGCCCAAGTTCTCCAATGTCTTTCGATGAAAACGCAGCATTTCCAATCGACTCACCTTTACCACACTTTACACCTGCAGTGCATGAGTCTGTCACAACTTCTGTTGGTTACAGGTTCTCTTCACCAGAATCAGCACATTCAGATATCGAATGTCAGTTGTCAACCTCAGATGATTTGACAGCTCAGAGAGCAGACTCACCCGAGTCAACTGCATTCATACTTGAAGAAAAGCAATCAACTGCCGCTACTAGATTCAGACCAAACCAGCTTATACGTCAAATGTATGACCCTCAGTATGTAGAGGAAGCTTTGGTCAGCACACCTGAAGTGTTTGAATATGTTTCCACCAGTAAAGAGCATGTTCTCCTTGATTCAGATGCGGAGGAGACAGGTAGGCCAGCAATAAGAACATTGTCTCCTGATTCAACATCAGGTAACAAGTTCCAGACCTTATTGTCAGATTCTGCTTTACCACAACTTAACCAACATATAGAATCAGTTGTGTTAGTCACAGGCCACAGGTCATCAACACCTTTATCTATAATGTCAGAGACAGAAATTAATGTTCTGGACATGACATTTGCAGAGACCCAATGGAGATCCTTCACATCCGATTCTGAAAATGAGCTAAG